GGTCCCGCGGGCGGCGCCCGCACGCTCCCGCTCGCCGCCATCTCGCCTCTGCCCGCCCCGCGCCGCCATCTCGCCTCCGCCCCCCGCGCGGCAGCCGGCCCGGCCGCCTCGGCCGCGCGACCCCAGCGGGAGCCGCCCGAGGGAGGGCTCCAGGGGACGGTTTCTCCTCAGGATGGAGCGTGCATCTCCTCGGGGCTGCACGCCAGCCCGAGCTCATAGCGCAGTCCTCCTGAAATAAACCCTGTAAGAGCTGACTCCAAGCATTAAAACGGGTTTTATGGAGAATATGTGAAGTACAAATGCGGCAAAACTAGACTTTAATACACTGCTGTATGTGGAAAACTCAGATCATCCAATCTGTGACACTAGGGATGAAGACATACAAGCTGTGAGACAAGCTCTAAGACTAGGAATGAAAGACAAGGACCTTTCCTTGACATTAAAATTTATTGTRGCTTAATTCGCATCCCAATCTTTAGTCTGCTTGCTTGTGCAGGTATAGCTATTGGATGACTCCCTACTAGTACTAGGTTTTCAAGCTTATCTTTATTAAAAGACCAAGATAAAAAGTAACGGTGTCTGTAATCATAAAAAGCAAGCACAGGAAAATGAGAAGCAAGGAGAAACAGAATCTCTTATTTCTTGCATGAGTCATTGCCCTTGTTAAGCAATATTGAATAGCAAGCTGTCAATACATACACATGTCTTCACCATTGCAACTATCCAAAATTCCCTCCTGTTTCATGGAATTTCATACCAATTATATGTATGCAGCTTCTCGTCATGTGCGACTCTGGAGTATCTGGGTTAAATTTACATGCTTCGGGCAGGATTTCTTACAGTCTTCAATTCCAATTTTGCAAATATATGTATTACATTTTAAGTATCAGATATTGCCATTATGCACGAGGAATCTGTAGATTTTGAAGTCCACAGTTACAAAGCATTTTTCCCGTTTCTCCTGCACTAGAGCACCTACCAAACTGGAGAAAAGCCACAAGCAGAAACAATTGACAAGGTTCACACATGCATCAGCAAAGATACAGAAAAAAAAATAGAAAAGAAACAAACAAAAACATGTATGTTTCTGCTTCTAAACAACATGAGGACKTTCAGAAATAAAATAGGGGAAGCTAAACACTGAAGCCAGGTCTTTTATTTAAAAGCACAGCAGAAACGCTGTAGGATGCGACTCCGTTCTTGGGGAACACCAGTCATCAAGGAGACGCTTGTACAAGCTGCTGACGAAAAAAGACATAGAAAATATATAATAAAGAAGCTTTATAGACAAACTGCTTGAATGGTTTCCACTCTACATATGAGATACTTGTGAATGTAAATCCCAGGCCTAGTTTGGAGAGCACAGCACGTAGTCCGCGCTCCTGTGACAGCCTGATGGGAGAGGCTGGAAGAGCCTCCACTGCGCAGGCGCGTGGGGCCATTTCCCCCCTTCATCATGGCAGCGCAGTCGCCAAGTTCCTCAGTGCGCATGCGCCTCCCCCCCCCCCGGGTTCTTCCTTTTTTTTTATTTAGCTCTGTTCCATCATGGTGGTGAAGTTGCGCTCTGCGAACCCCGGGCAGTAGCTAGAGCAGCCCCCCGCGGAAGAAGCGGCCACATCTGAGCTGCCGCGCTTGGCCGCTTCCAGCATGGCTCGGCTTCCCTTACACTGGCTCTAGGCCGCTCTCCCGGAAGTGGGCCGCCAGGGTCAAAGATGGCCGCCGCCGGGCGGTGCTCCCTGGCGGCCACGCGGGGGTCACGTGGGGGCGGCTCGCGCGGCGGCGCCGTTAACGGCCGCGCTGAGGGCCGCTATGGACGGCGTGGTGGAGGAGCGGGCGGCGCCGCGCCCCGCCGCGCGGGTGGATCGTGTCCTGCTGCCGGCCCTGCACCTGCCCCTGCTGCCCGCGCACCTCTACCGGCCGGGTAAGCGCGGAGCTCCCGGCCGTGCCTCGGCCGCCTGGGGAAGCCCTCCGGCCACGAGCTTCCCTTTCGCCTTAGTTGTGCAGCGGAACACCGGGCAGAGCCTCCGCGCCAAATCTGCCTGAATCGGGTCGCTTCTCAGCAGCTGATGTGTTAGGAGTTACCTGCAGTAGTTGTAGCCCTTGGTATATTTAACGTTTCAGTATTTATTCTGTTTTTTTTTCTTTCTATCTCCATTTATTTGCTTGTTTCTTTGTYTTTCAGTCTGTCTGTTTCTGCCAAGTAGCTCGAATCTGTTAGAAATACTTTAAATGTTAGCCCAGGTCTGGAGACAGTATGGCTCAGTGTTAGAATTTACAAGTGGCCTCTTTACCATTTTGTATTCACAGGAGAATAATTTGCTCCTAGTATCTCGTATATTTTYACATATCGGTGTTCATTTGTTTTTCCAGAAAGTAGGTGCCTTTGCCTTCATTGGTTTATAAGTGAAGATCAGTTTCTGCAGTATCTGAAAAATCGTTTTTTCTTTAGCAAAAAAGAGAGGCATACTGAAGTGGTAGACAGATTATTTGAATGAAGACTATTTGTTTGTTTGCTTTTAGCAATTTCCCACCCACACAAGTTAGACTTCAGGAAGAGCAAGGACATGTGTTTAGGTTACATTCAGGATGCCCTGTTACAAAAGCAGTGGAAGAGGGCTGCAGAGTTTCTCACCTTCTATAYTGAGTCATTGGAGAAAGACTTTTCTACAGAATACATGGGTCCTTCAGAGGTAAGGAACTCAACCTTCTTTATCAGGGTTCTTTTGCAGTTGAAAAAAACAGTTGCAAGAAGTATCTGTGGTATTTCAAGGCTAACCTTGGTCTAAGGTATAACAGAGAATATATGGATGTGAGCATGATGCTATGAAAAGTGCTCAGTATAAGCAGCCATTTGGGTACTAATGGAGAAGAGGAAGATCTTGGATGACAGGATGCAGAGAGTACCCCAGCCTGCCTTATTGGTAGTGTTCGAGGCAGTATGTTGCCTTATTGCTTSTTAAAGGACTCTCAGGCTGGTGTCTGCAGTCTTGCTGGGCCTTCAGGAGTACAAAGAAATGGTTGTGCTCTCTTCTGTCCTTCCCAAAAGTGTTCAGTGCCCCTGAAAAGTTCTCTTGACTTTCAGGCTTTCTACATAAGCTGGAGCCACAGCAGATGAAAGCTGGGCTTTGTACGGTGAATTCCATCAGTGCTGTCCGACAAGAGTCATCTTAATGTAGTCTTCTAAAATGGAAAAGCAGAAAATGTGTTTGCCATGCCATAGGTCAGAATCTATTTGAAAATTAGCAGCTTACTTGGGTCTTTGCTAGCTTTTCTTTYACCTGCACGACTCCAATCAGGTACTGAGATAACAAGAGGGAAGGGATCAAGCTGAGTTGTAAAATGGATTGTGTATTCCCTGCACTTTAGTGGGATTGTGTCAAAGGAAAACATGCTTTTTTGGGTGACCAGATGGGAGGTGAAACCTCTGACATACAGTTTTCTTATGTTTTGCTGAAGTGCTGTTTTTTTTCATGAGCAATTGTGAAGCCCCCACTAAATGATTATAAAAATGTTGTAGATGGTCGTGTAAGTAACTATATCAGTAGACAATGCTTACTATTCTGTTTTTGAATTGCAATTCAATGCAGGTTTTTTTCATATGTTGGRGTAGCTACAAGCTTGATAAATGGTATGTATGGTGATTGTGATTTTTGAATCTTTTTCTCCTCTCATTGATAGATCATTTGGAGATTAGGAACAGAAATTTTGTGCCACTGTTTACATAACGACGTGAAAGAGTTCAACTCTTTCATAGAACAAATGAAAACTTTAGGAGTAAAAAGGTATTTGAAGGTAAGAGCAGCCTTGATGCATAAAGCTTTATGCAGCCTTGATGACTTGTTACAAGTAGTTATCTAAACATTTATTTGGATATTACTGTTTCTGAAAATTCTGTAATTTTTAGGGTATATTACTATAGAGTGAAATATTCTAACCTGTGTTATAGTTGCATGATAATTTTTATATTATTCYATATCTACAAATATCGCATTGGTTTATGTACTTGATCCCAATTGCTTATTGTTAGTCCTTACTGGTCTCTAGATCCCTTAATTAATTGATTAATCTGAAACATCTATGAACTGATTTTCAGGTGTGTGCCAGCTTTACCAGCAACACCTAATTGCCTGTTAACACCTATAAAGTTTTCTTTGTGATGTTTGTTTGGCCACTGTGCTTCTGACTAAACTACATACTCWTAATTAAATCTTTACCATCCTTATCTAATCACTTCTCAAGGAGCTGATGTCTGTGTAAAACAGTAAGCCTAATGCAGTGGACCCTTGTGTCATGCAGCTGCTGTTTTTTGTCCATGATTCTCTATTGAAACATAGGTTGTTTTGCTYGTCTTGACTCTCATCTGTGATAATGTTTCTGCCTCTCTTGTCATGTTAGTTCAAGTAATCTGTTGTGCAGAGTGTCTGACAAAGGTACATAAGCCTCAGACTTTTGTCCATTGCGTGATAACATGATAGGGTAGTAAAGCATCCCCCTTGCAGGTATGCTGCACTTGAGCAACCAAATGAAAAACTCAGCAAGTGTAAACCTGACGAGATTTCCTCAGTTCCTGGATCCTTTAAGAAAGATACCACATTGAGTAATGACAAGTAAACTTTGAAATCACTGCTTTTGATAAGTACCATTGGCCACCTGGGTTATTGACTTTCTTCCTCACAAATTATCAGACRCTTTAGCCTTCTGATTTCCCAGGGATACACTTTAGTATCCAAGAGGTTCTCTTCGTTCATGTTTTTCCAACAGCTGCAAACAGATAAAAATTGCTCATGTTTTTGGCACACTCCTTCCCACATGTCTCCCAGGGTCATTTGTGTTCTTGCATTCCGGCATTTTTCTCCTAAATTTCCTGTAAAGACACTCTTTGGATAAGAGGATCCAAGTAAAATGCATTTCTAATTAAATTACTAACAGTGTGTGTTCAGAATGCTTTATATGAATTTCAGTAGTGAGGCTCTTCTCTCTCTCTGTCCATTTGTACAGAACTTAGCTGCATTGCCATGTTTCCCTTCGCTGGGGATGTGAAATGCTGTGGTGTGTACTGTTTGAATTGCAGATCTGTCTAGAGCATGCTTTTCACCTCCTGTGTAATGGACAAATAGATGAAGCCTACCAGAGCTTGTCCTTGGCAGAAAGCTGGAGGTTTGGAGAACAAACAACAGCTCAGGATAAAGAACTGAAGCTAATTCAGGCTTACAGAGGACTGTTGGACTACTATAACTGGTCTAAGCAGAAGAATGTCTTTYTAGAGTATGGTAAGTTCTAGTATTGCCTCAGGTACTGAGTTCTGAACTTCAATTTGCCTGTTCTGGTGAGCACCATGGTTTAGATGAACATTTTTTTTTCCATGTGGGCTGCTTTTCTAATTTTGTATGTGTAATGAGACACCAAAGGGACTTMAAAGCTCAGAGTACATAGTGCTGAATTGCCATGATGGTGGTGCTGCTAAGACACATCAGTAAATTCTTAGCACTTGCAATGTTCTGAAACAAAGTAACGTTCCCTCCCACCTTCAGAGTTCTTGCAGTATCCYCTTTCTTTATGGTGGAAAAGAATGTTTCCATCCCTAGCAGGGGCTTCTTCCTGGATGTAGTAAGTTTGTGACTGCTTCTAGGATTTTGAGTGCTAACAAAAAAAAATTGGGCTTTCCCTTTAAAAATAGCTTGTGCACGGCCTCTAAACCTGCAGATACCTGCTGGATGTGGGTTAGTTGCATTGGATTTCTGCTGTTTTCTATCAGAAATTCAACATTGTTGATTTCCAAGAATCATAGAATGCTTAAGGTTGGAAGGGACCTCAGAGGTCATCTAGTCCAACCCCCCTGCTCACACAGGGTCACCTAGAGCAYGTGGCACAGGGCTGCGTCCAAGCGGATTTTGAAGATCTCCAGAGGAGGAGACTCCACAACATCCCTGGGCAGCCTGTTCCAGGACTCTGTCACCCTCACTGTCAAGAAGTGTTTCCTTAAGTTCCTGTGGAACTTTTGGTGCCTCAGCTTGTGGCCATTTCCTCTAGTCCTRTCACTGGCCACCACTGAAAAGATTTCTAGGTCTTGTATTAGTATTGTATTTTCTTAGTGCTATGAGTTGTACTGCAACATCTGATGAGTCAAAGTTTGATGAATATAAATGTGGAAACTTCTTGTGCCAGTACTGAGGGATTCTCTAAGGATTTCTTTTCTTTCTGATTTTGATTCCTTAAGTTCTGTGAATGGAGTCCCTGCTGAGCAAAATGTGATCATCYTAGGTATAACACTTTTTCAAGAAACCTCTTGATTAACAAAACTAACTTCATGGCATTCTGTCACCTTTTGGTAGATAAGGATGGATTTGAAGACTTGTCTGTGGAACAGGAGATGCACAATTCCTTCCGGAAGGCAGCAGTCAGCTTAAAGGAGATCATTCAAATACCTGGAGTCTGGGATCTCTTTGTGCAGTGCTATATAGATGTAAGAACATGTTTTTGCAGATCTCTTTGTGTTTCCCTATTTGATATTTAAGATACATCTGCAGTTTTGCTGTATATACATGGATGACAATATCTCTAAAAGCAATATATATATATATATAGTACATGCATCTCATTGGCTTTGATTTAGAGCTTGTATAGAATACAAACAGGATTTCATCTGTGTTTTGCTAATGAAAAGAAAACCTCTTGCAGATTTTTTTTTTTTAATAGAATTCCTGTAAAGCAATTAGAACACAACTCTTTTGCTTAATTCCTGAAAACAGATTCTTTGGCAGGACAATAAGAAARGACTTTTATTTTTTCTGGCTATACGTTACCGTAAAGGCACCAAGCATTACTATCTGCCTTAAAAGTCTGATCAGGAAACAAAGTTAATCTTAACACCACTCTGAAATTATTTAATAATTGTAATTACTGATAAATTCTGACTCCTCTTAACTATAGATGCTGGTAACTGCCAAGTTCTCTCGCTGTCCTTTCTCTAGAAAGACACAACAGGCTGCTGCACTGACTTTTTTCTGTGAACAAGTGATAGCATTTTTTAAACAGATAGATGCTTAAAGAGGAACTTAGTCTTACAGCTGCTTCTGTATGTGAATTTCTGTCTGCATATAATAAGAGCAGTAGTGTTAGGGACCAGTAAAATTAAAATGCACTCMTCATATGTTGCTTTAATACACTGTATTGTTAGATACAGACTGCTACTGCACAGTTCTGTGGCAACCCAAAATTAGTTGCGGGAGTTTCATTTCCAGTTTGTGGTAAATGACTGACAAACTTAACTTTCCTCAGCTGCTGGAGTTCTATGGGGACCATGAGGAAGCCCGCCAAGTGTTAAATGAATACGCCTACAACTCAAAGTTTCCCACTAATCCCAATGCTCACGTTTACCTCTATCAGTTCCTAAAGAGACATGGGGAACCGAAGAAGTCATTGATCTCTGTGCTCAAGGTATATATTTGATAATAGTCCTTCATGTTGCATGGTGGTCTGGCTGTTTAGCTCTGCTCCTGTTGCTCTGTTACTTTCTCTGGGGGAAGKGGGCCATGGGAGAAAAGGCTGATGCTGATTATCAAAGTAACTGATGCAGCTTGCTATCTTCCTTTCCTCTGTTAGCTTGAATTCAAATCTCTGTTCTGCTTGAGCAAATGAACACACCAGAACTTCTTTAAGTCAATAATTCTAAGCTCAGAGAGGATGTTTGTATGGTCYAGAAGCCAACCAGCAGTCCTGAACATGTGCTCATTTTACTCATTTTTGTTGCAGTTTGACTTTAWTAAAGTCAAATGATTGAGTGCTTGGTTTCTTCAGTTGTCTAACAATTACTTTTTCTCCTGTTTTTCAACAAGCCCTGCATTTAAGATGCAAAACACCTTTGTTGTTGCTGACTTTTGACAGATAAGAACTTGCGAATTTAAACTTTTGTGTAGTTGTTTTTGAAGTCCCACTGTCCTTGCACCTGCTCACTGATTTTGGTAATTTTTTGCCAACATTTTCACTTTTGCCGCTTGATGGCACTAAAATTCTGTCAATATTTTCACTAAGTCAGAAACTTTAGCRCAACTTCATAAAGTTGAGACTTTTAATCCATAGCTTGTGGGAATCAAGTTCTGGTTTCCCAGAGTTCAGCAGTGGTTTTATAGGCTAATTGCTTACAAGATAATGACAAATCAAAGAACTGGTCAGAGAGATCCCAAAACTATTACTCAGTGCGTGGAGCGGTAGTAAACAGGAGCTTGAACTGGCCTAGAAAGAAGAGGATGCCACCCCCTGAAAGAGATACTTGGCATAGGTTTGGGCTAGTTTGGAGAATGTTGCATATGTTTTGTGCAAGGTTTCTTGATTTCCAGTGAGGTGTTTCATCTATCAGGTCCCAGGGTAGTGTCAGAGTTACAAAATAGCCCTAGTTTTTTTGTTTTTATTAATATCAAGGCACTAAGATACCCAATAGTTTATTTTTTCTAATTAAAAAATCTGAAGTCTGTGCTTCTACTTGACGAAAATAAATTTCAAATTTTTTATATCAAGACAATATTTGCATTTTTTCTTTTTTCCAGATTTTGCATGATATTGTTCCCTCTCATGAATTAATGATAGATTTTCATGCCATGCTTCAAAAGTCAAGTAAGTCTTCAAATATCTTCACTCATTTTTCCTTAATGTTAATTTGATATCAAATGATATTCTGAAATTATTTTATAGCGTTCTGTCTCCTCTTTAAAGTGCATCTGATATTTAAAAAAAAAAAACCCACAACTCTCAGATCATAGAAACCTTCAAGTTAGCTACTGCAGTAGGCATTTATGAGCTTCTGTGAACAAATGCATTTCTAAACTAAAAGACTAATCTAAGCCAAACTTGTAAAACRTACCAAGGATATATTTAAAAAAAAAAAAAAAAAGTGAAGTACCATAATCTAAATGCCAGACTTGCTGTTCCCTTTGTGGTGTCTCTGTTTTGTTTTGGTGATTTTGAAGTGGATTTATAATTTAGTTCAATGTTGTTGATCAATCTTGTTCTCTTCAGGGGGAATTTTACCTTCAAGAAATGTCTTCCAAATTGGAGACTTTTTCCGTGATGTTAAGCTATAGTGCAAGTTGATATCTTAAAGCCTTGTATGTTGTAGCAAGTTGGCAGATTGCTGAAAGAAGTAGATTTTACCTATGATTCTTTACTAAAGAGTTCAGCTTCATTTAATTTCAGAGAAAAGAAAAAAACGTCGACTGGGGCTAGAGGTTATTTTTGCAGCCTTGGATTATGCTGGRTGGAAGGAAAATGTCAAAGCATGGAGTTGTCTGGCAAGACAAGTTAAGCAAATTATAATGTAAGTRTGGCATCTCTCATGAAATGTCCTAACACCAAATTTGAGTGGGTCTGGTTTCCACCTTCAGACACTTGACCAAGTCATCTGTTACCCATTTGTCTTCCATGCTGCTCAGTTCTGTGGCAGTGCTTGGCTGCAGTGCCCTTTTATGGTAGGAAAGAAGAAATATTGCTAAAGACTCCCAAATGTCAATGATCAACATTTGAAAGGCCGCATGTGTTTTTGTTTTGAGGTTTGGTTGTTTTTTTCTAACCATACTCTGTGCTTCTGAAGAAGGAGTCATTTAGGTGTTTGGGTAGCATTTGCCACCTATCGCCACTTTCCCTCTTCTGGGTGTTGGGGGAAGAATTGTTGGCTCTTCTGAACATCTCCTCTGCTTGCACACTGGCACTGGGTAGGCTGGTGTGTTGTGTTCTTCCTTGTGTGACAGTGGTAACTGTTGAAGGGTGCAGCCAGCGTAGTAGGAGCGGCTGAGCCAAGAGGTTCAGGCCGACACTGGCAGTCATGGAGTCTGTTGGAAGCCAACTCCTGGCAGTTCTTGCCCACGAGACTCTTAATGGCTGGGGCTTATTTTATGCAACATGCAACCTTTTCATTTGGAGGGGGAAAACAACAACAACAAAAACTATGTACTTGTACTAAGACAAATTCAGTGCTTAGAAGTGCACAGTGGGTCATACTCATGGCTCTTTCTCTAGGTGGCTAAGGGCCAGAACTTGATACTTCAAAGCTAAATGTTGCTGTCTATAAGTAGTAAAAATGGTGTGATTCTCTTTACTTGCAGTTTCGTATTTTAAGACACAGCTTCAGAGTACCTTAAAATATACCAATATGACTCATTTATGGAATATCACTTTCATATGGTAGTTAGCATTCCACTTCTGCAATGCTTAGTTTAAAGTSTTTATTGTGAAACAGTTGCTGGGATAATTTAAGTCTCTGAGTAAGTTAGTCCTKAAGTATAAAAACTCTTAAAAATACTAACTTGTTAACAAATGTAAATACACTCTCTTGTTACTATTAACTAATTGGCACACAAATCAAAAGCTTGCTTTGTTTCACTATCATCTGTGTCACTGTAGAGTCTAGGGACTGCTAAAATTCTCCCCTACCTCATAGCCAGGAATAATTTAAACAAAAAAAAAAAGTTTCTGCCTAGTTCAGTGTTTCAGAATGCAACGCAAGGTCAGTGCATCTGGGCTAGCAGTTTCTGAACCTTGTAGTGATCTGATTGTAAAAATCACAGTCTCTATTTATTTTTTAAAGCTCTAAGAAGCACCTTGATTGGATCAAGCAGGAGTGGAACTCCAGAAAGGACTGGTGGCCAGCCTTCCATTTTAGTCATTACTTGGCGAAGCAGAATTGGCAGGAAAATGAAAGCCTTGCGTATGAAAAAGCTCTGGTGGCTGGAATCTTACTGGGAAAAGGTAATATTAAATGTTTCCTTTTCACTCTATAAATACTTTCACCCCAATGAAGTGGGATGAATGTGATCTACCATCTGGAAGAAAGGCTGTTTCATACTTGTAAGGAAAATTGACTTTTCTGAAGCTAAACGTGAGAAAAGTATCTGGAATTACTYTTTTTTTAATCCTGGTTTAAAGTTCTATTTTACTTGGCCTTGTTGAGCAGTCATAGCACTAGTTATCTTGTTTATAACCTTGAAATTGCAATTTCAGAAATGACCAGCGTGCTTTTTGAGTAAATGTGGGGAGGCGTGTGCAGGTTGCTGGATGCCAGTCTCGGTAGTGTCCCAGCAAATACTGAGGAGTAGCCAATGCTTGTGGATCATGAGTGTGTTTTCCTTTGACTATTGTAAGAGGAGGAGGAGGATGCCTTGAATATAAACTGTCAGCAATTTGGTAGGAAGTCTGTGATGATCGTGGGCTCCTTGGTAGCATTCTTTGAAAAGACCAACAAAACCAAGTAGAAACTCAAGCCAAGAAGTGGCCACTGAGCTGTGGAGTGTCCTCTGAGAGTGAGAAAATGAGCATGGCTTGTAGACAGGCTTCTGGATGGTCACTTGGTTCTTTGTCAGCTTTGCTGTAACTGATACTTTCTGGACTTCATAAACAATTTCTTAGGTTGAGCTTTCTTGCTTTCAGTAAAATTTTATCAAATGTCTCCTGGATTTTATCTCTAGGTGACAATAATGTGATTTCAGATGCAGCTTTCTTGCTATCTGTACTTATTGATGTAAAATAAAGACATATATGAAAGACTTTTGAAGTCTTACTCTTCAGATAGAATTAGAAGTTATTTATTTCTTTTTAAAAGAACTAAATGAGGACTAATTTTATCAAATCAAATTTTATGGATCAAATGAGGACTAATTATTAAATCTGCAGCTATGCCTCTAGTGTGCTTGTCTTGGATTATAATACCTTATTACTGTAAAACTTGCTGAAATGCTTGTATGTCAATTACTGTTTTTGTTGTTTTTTGTCAATGAACGTTTTGCATTAGCTTGTATCATAGTATAACAGTATAACTTGCATCATAGTATAACTTACCTTTTTTTTTTTCTTTTTCCTGTTAGATTGCAAGTACTTTAAATATGTATCACGCCAAGGCTGTAAAGATCAGAAGAAAAAGTTTCGGATGCTGAAGAAGTTTGTGAATAAGCACAGCCCTGTCTACCTAAGAATATCTGGGCTTTCAGATTCATCCCAAGCTTGATTAGATCCCTGTAAGATCCTCAGTGTATCTTTTCTCTGTGAAACAGGGTTCTATATCACTACTACTTGAGAACATCTCAGCAAACCTCATCAGCTCAGTGCTAAACTTGTATGTTTCTGGTTTTGTATGTAAACTGTTTTGCATTTATTTTATAATGAAAGTAATTTATGTCAACTCATAAAGGTTTTTTTATAAATCGTTTCATTTTTGTGAATGAMCAAACAATAGTTTTTCAACTACATCTTAAAATAATTCGGTTATGGAACAACATTTCTGTGACAGCATAGTGGAGTTGATTCTTCTTGCATTTAGATGCACAAAAACTGATTTAAATGGGTACTGGAGTGTAATTCAAATGCATTCAGGATTAGCTGTGGTATTCGTAAGTGGAGTGTCTAAATCTAGGAATGTTGTATGATGCAGTGCAAAAATACAGTTCTCAACCTCTAAAGGTTACATAACTTGCTACTTAGAATTAATTTTCCTGAAATAAATGGAAAATGAGGCCCATCTTGTGTTTTTGCACTGTATATTTAGTAGAATTATAGGTCGTGAAGTTCTGCAGCTTGCTTAAATGGATGATGCACTTCAACACACCAAAAACTACTTTTCAAACATAGCATGCTTGTGGATTGTGTCCRGTTCAGAAAAAGCTTTTGCTTCCTTCCTGGCAGGAGGAGGGAAAGGTCATCTCAGTTGCATGGCTACAGAGGAGAGCTGGTGTCACGGTGCTTGGAGAGAGCAAAGAAACAGAACTACCAAAAGTTTTGTCTGGTAGAAAAGGTTTGCTAGAATCTGCTTGCAGTCCTGCTCAGGACAGCTGAAACAGGCACTGCTGCTGTTCCTGGAAAACAAATGGTAATGGGATATTTCTAATGTTCTTATGAGTTTTTGTGTTTTTCTGAACCCCTTTTTTCAAAAGAAGAGCGTTTCAGGAGTTTAGGTTAGGAGTAAGTATTTGAGAGCTGTTGATTTACACTAGGAGAGGGATTAGCACTGGGATGTGAACACCTTTGAGTCTTCAAGTACAAAATCTYTTATAAGAGAAGACTTGCCCTTTGATTGCAAAGTTTTTGTTAAAAGGTGCAAATAGTAAAGGAATTCTGGAGKCCCTGCTGCTCGTTGAGAGCCCCTGCATAATTTGTATTCTGTCCCTTTGGCTGCCTGTGGGAACCGTGTATACTTGTAGCAGCTGAAAATCCATCTCCTCACTGAGGAAGAAATGGCAGCCGAAGCAGCAAAGATGTGAGTAGGGCTGAGGAGAACAAGTTGGACAAAGAACAACTTGATGCCTTTGACAAATCTATTAATTGTGCTTGTAGCTTTCTTCTGTGATCTCAGTTGTAACTGTTGTCAACTTTAAGTGATCTCGACCCAAGCTCTAAAAATAGCATATTTGCCAGCACTCACTTACAGAGAGGMGTGGAGGAAATCCTTGTTTGTAGGTGAATTCCTCAGAAACTGGTTGGCAGCCAGGAATTGTTCTCTCTGCTTGGTGCTAGAGCTGCAGCAGGACTGCAGTTTGCCAGTGGAAGAGCATGGTCCCAGCTTTGATATAGCAGTCCACCTCAAGCATTGCTCTTGTCCCTTCAAAAAAAAAAAAGCTAAAATGCTCTTACCCAAGGTTGTGGTATTTACACTTGAGACAAAACTCAAAACTGTCCAGCTCAAGTCCTGCATGGAATTTCCTGAGCAAACTGCTCAATACATGCTGTGCTTTCAAGCCTGTGCATTGTACTTTGAATGAATGGTAACTCACAGTAGATAGGGAAAGTCCTTCCTTGGCTCTGTATGCTGCAGATTTCTTATGAACAGTCCTCTTTCTATATACAAAATCTTTTTTATACTATATTTTTTCATAAAAAATCACTACTGTACTACCATTCTATGCTGAGATAAGGAATTGCTCAGGGAATCCATATCTTCTTGTCCATAAGCCCAATGACTATTGTCCCTTCATTATTCCACCTCTCATCTTGTATTTTTAGTACTCAACTAGTTTGATGAAGAATTGCATGAAGTTGCAATTTGTTTTAGCTTTGCCATCTGCTTTCCCTGTTGTCTCMTCCCTGTTTGTGATGTTTGTCTTGCCCCAGATCATGAAAGATGGCTAATAAAGTATCCTCTGCTCACAAACCATGTTSATCCCCTCACCCTCTGACATCTCCCCGCCCCGTCCGCCCAGTTTCTGATCAGCTGTCTCCTCCTGGAAGTTTGGGCAAGGCTTGCTGTAGGCTTTGGCAACCCTAGAAAAGGGATGTCCATCCTCCTTGGGACGGCCCCTGGTGAATCGGAGGGCTGCTGGGCTTTGCATAGGTCTGACTTTACAGCCTGTGCTTTCAGGAGCTGCTATTCTCATCTGTGATGATAAATGGCAAGTCCCACTTGTCCTATTGCCCGTAAGGAATTGCTGGAGGTGCTTTGCTGGCTGAACTCGAGACTGCTTACTGAAGAGTTTTCAGGTAATGTTAATAGGCCCCATAGGACGGTGTTTTCTGTCCTTGTCCAAACGCAATTGAYACTCTTCCAGCTTTGCTGCCTTCCTTAGAGTGAGTGGCAAGGAGTATTCCTGCCTCCTGCTTTGAAGGGGCGGAAGCTCTTTATGAATATGTATACTCTGGAGTTTTTGTCTCGAAGCAGCGTGTCCCCAGGACAGGGAGAGAGGACTTAATTATTCTTAAGAGAAGTAGTTGATCTGATGAATAAGGCTTAGGTGGCCCAGAGAGATCATCCCCAAAGCTAAAGAAATGGAAAGCAAAGGGAGCTTGAAAGRCTGTAGGTTCTGAAGCTGCACCTGACACATTTCTGAATCTTTGGAGTTTAGGCAGAGACATTGTCAACAGACTGTTGGACTGTCAAGTTGCCACAACACGGAACCACAGCAAAACAGCAGGTGATGGTTAAAAAATCCAGTGGTGTCTTTTTCCTTCAACAAAGCAGTCATCTCTCAGTAAAGGCAACGAGACCAGAGCATCCCAGCCCTGACTTTGCACTGGTGATTTTACTGGGAATCTAGAATGGGGAACATCCATTTCTCCGTGCAACTAGACTGTTAGGAGTAAGTGAGGATGTGGGAGGTAAGGGGAAGGAGTTTCTAAATAATGGGGAAAAAGAGTTTCTAAATAATTCTCTAACCATTTTTCTCTTTTGATCCTCAGTCACAGSATAACCAATCCCAAGCCTGATCTGTTTTTAGAAGCAGAGTAAAAGAGTAGTTATCTGAGAAGGATTCATCCTGTGTTTCGTAGCTGAAGAGAGGGAGAATTTAATTCTGTATGTAGCTAGCATACACTGTGTTATYTATTTTGTGTCCGTAGTTCTTCATGAATGATTTCTGAGCCTTTTTAAGCTAAACTGTAGGATTAGATCTGTGAATGCTCTTAAGGACATGAGAAAGACAGAGAGGAGGGCTCAGCCGTGTGACGTGTGAGGCACCACAGAGGCGGTCTGGAGGGTTCCAGCCAAGTAGTAAACTTGGAAAGCAGCAGGGAGAATGTAAGCAAACCTGAGCAAACACTGAGCTCTGCAGCTGGCAAAGAAGAAAACACAGAGGATGAATGAACCATACCGTGAAGAGGTTGAGGATTTCTATACGTCTGACCTCAAGAAACCTCCAGGGGAGAAAGTGAGCGCTTGGCYGTGCGCGGGCAGGAGCAGCAGCAGCTCTGGAGTTTCCTTTTCTTGCCCATATGTCTTTCTTTGCCTGTCCTTGTTATGCCAGGCAGGCAGTCTTCTGGGGCATCCTCAGTGCCTGGATTATGGGCCGCCTTTCCAGCCCCCCTTTCACTTGGAGTTTTGCACTGCCTATGAAAACTTTGGCTGCTGCGACCAGGAGAAAGACAACAGTATTGCTGCAAAATACTGGGAGATCATGGATTATATTGATCCCCAGGGGCATAAACTGTGCGGAAGGTATATCAAGGATATCCTGTGCCAGGTAAGCCAGAAAGCATCCTAATCCTGCGCTTTGGGGTGATGAGGTGGCTTGTGGTTCTGGTCGTCTGTATAACTGTGTTGTTCTGGAGAGAGATGTGGAAGCAGGAGGGAAGGGGGCTCTTATAGCAGAGGAAGGACAGCAGGAAGGGGGCGTTTTGTGACGTGTTTTGTGTAGGGCACCTTGCTTGGTGGTATCCAGCAATACATAGTGACTTCTGATAGCAATAACGACTTATGAAATGTAGCTCGCCTCAGGATGATGGGAATGCTGCTGCTCTGTTGATTTTCTTGTAACAAAGGGGAGAGTCACTGATCAATGTTGTTCTCTTGTGCTTGTAACTAGTAGGTGGTACTTGACAAAATCTGCAAAATCAAATAATATGAGAATCTCAAATGGTACGAGAATTAACTGGTGCAGGATTTGGATTTCTGCGTTTCAAGATAGATGTGTATAGATTGTGTTCCTGCCTGGGACTCTCCACGTCTTGTGTTTGCTAAGATATAGCAGCGTGTAACAGGCAGTGGGTTCATGCAGCTGCCTGCCCAGAGGCTTCAGTGGCTGGGCTTCCTTGGCGCAGTGGTGACACTGGGCAGTGGCAGAGCCCGGGGGCGCAGCTCTCCTGGGCCTCTCTCCTTGGAAAAAAAAAGAGCAGAACTGCCCTGCTTTTAACAACTGTGTTAGTCGTGCAGAGCAGGACTTAATGCCTGCCAGGACACGAAGCAGCCAAAAGACACACTTGTTCTTAAGAACAAAACGATAAAAAAGCTCTTCTAACTAAAATTTCCTTAGCCCTAAAACTTTGTTTACTGAATATTTTGGATGCTGTCAGGAATTTGGCATCTTCTTGAAGAAAAGACATTTTTGGTATCAGGGCTGCAAAGGAGCAGTCTCAGGGTTCTCTTTGTTGTTCTATAGTTGGAAAAAAAAAGGTATGTTATAAATTCTAAACGTGAATGTTGGTGGTTCTACTAGACTTTATTTTTTTGCATGTTGTAGGTAGATTAGAAACGCAACAAAAATATGACATTTTCTTTTTTCTTTCTGTTAAGGCTTGGATTGCTTATTCTGTAGGATATAGCTTCATTTTTGCATTTGTTAGAATTATATTTTATAGCATAAAAATATTGGGGTATTTTTATCCAAGTAATGAGTTAAGACTTTTTCATGACTTTCTGCAGTAAGATTGCTGTAGCATATTTGAGGATAAGGATTTTGTAATTACGTTGTTGTGCCAGGTGCATTCATGGGAGTAGGTTTGGACACGTGTGCTTTTTTGTTTATTTTTTTTGTTTACTTGCTTCCCCATTATTTATGTATTGACAACTGGTATTTGACTGTCAAACCAGTGGAGGAGCAAAAAATCTCCCAAATGGCCTTGCTCTAGTGGTGTCACTTTGCTGAATCTAATGGTTATTGGGGATCTCACTTGGAAGGAGTCAGAAAYGATGGCGGAACCCTGTCCTACCCTGCTCCAGCATCCCTATGATAATTAATAGTCACTACCTGTGACACGTCGGCACGTGCTTCGTGCCCCATGGAATGGCACTCGCACCTGCCTTGTCTGGGTGTGATTCTGCCAAGTGCTCCTTACTGCCGTCTATGCCAGGACGTCGGGTTGGCCACTGGATCATGGATTTCCTGCTGACAGTCCACATCAACTGTATCTATTAAAATCTCATCCCAAGAGGCATCCAGATTGGCTATAAAGCAATCTGGCTCTGCTGGTGAAGCTGCTTCAGCTTACACCTGACAAAATCTGGGGCTGTATTTGTCCCTTAYGCTTGTTGCAAACATTTGCAGGTTTGGAAGCTAGCCCTGAGCTGTCCTAGGATTTAGTCTGGAAAATGCCCATCAAGCTCTGGAAGCTGCCCGTGATGCTCCTGAGGAGATGTGCAAGTTGGAGGGCTGCAGAACAGGAGCTCCCTGAATTTGTRGCCCTTGCTATGTGCGCTAGAACTGCTGCGTGGCCACTGGCTAAGAAAACATCTCTCTGCTGAGAAAACAGCCTTGCTTAAGCTGATCAAAAGCCGTGGTCCAAGCATGTGATAGAAGCCTGCTGCAGGCAAAACAACTTTTTTTTCTTCTTTTTTTTTTAAGCCAGTTTTAATTAGGCCTGACGTGTGATTGCTTGAACGCGTAGTGTTAGTCTCGTGCACCCTGSTTTGGACCAGTAGAAGGTTGTGCACTGCACGTACAGGTCAGTGTGATGTTCTGCCCCCTCAATCAGGGCAGCCCCAGCTTTGGCACGCAGCATCACGTGGTTCTGCAAACAGGTGCAATGACTAGGAGGAAACTGGATATTCTTGCAGAGGAACTCTGAAGTGGCCCAGAAGATCAAGCAGATCTTAGCTGCTTCTGCTGTATTAAGCAGTTGCATTAGCTGTTCTGTTTCACACACACTGGAGTGAAATGGATGCGGACAACCAGCAATTACTGCAAGGCCACTTAATCCTGGGAGTTTACRTCCATCCTGAGGAATGCCTCAACCTTGTGCCTTTTGCCAGAATGTGCTATAGACGTCTTTGCCAGGCAAAGGATGTGTGGGAAGCTGAATGGCTGAAAAAACATAGCAGCTCTTCAGGGACTGCATTTTCTTGGAGATTGTGAGCTGYAGGAGACCCTCGTGCTGCGGACTCAGCAGAAGGGATGACTGAGCTGGGAGAAAACACCCTGTCTCAGAGGAAGCTGTTTTATTGGTGGTGGTAGCTCTCGTATCCCGTGCTGGGAGCTTGATTCTGTTCTAGCCCCTGCTGAGGCAAATTAAAAGGTTTTCAGAGAACTTAAWGAAGTAATTGCTGAAAAGCAGAAAGGAGAAGAGCTTTAAACTTCAAGTGAACTCTGTAGAATGAACAAATGTAATGGAAAAACATTGAACTAGCTGCAGGGACACATCAGTGGGGCTGCGTAAGCTTTCCAGGACTCAATATGCAATGCAGGTTAGGCTCTATCCACTCATTTGCACCTTGCTAGGTGACTCATTTTTCATTTTATTGATTGATTACTTCCATGAAAGCATTCTTGCTTCTCCTGTATGTATGTACACTGCCACCTATTTAGTTTCCCTTGCTTCCTAGGAATGTTCTCCATATGCTGCACATCTCTATGACGCAGAAAACCCGCAGACGCCTCTTCGAAACCTCCCGGGCCTTTGCTCTGACTACTGCTCCGAGTTTCACTTCAACTGCTACTCCGCTATCAGCCTGCTGACGGGCGACAAGCACATGCAAGAGTGCTGCGAGACAAACAAGACGCGCTTCTGCAACCTCCTTAA